GGGGGGGGGTTGGAGGAGAGCTTGCTCCCTGACCCTTTCCATGTATTTTGAATTGCATTACCGTGCAATTGGACTACGATTGGCTTTATCTGTTTTGATCCCATGGTATAGAATTGTAGTGATTCACTAATTAATTGGAGATCTGAAATGTCAAACCGATTCATTAGTTAATTGTAGTGTAGTAAAGAACTTCATTAAATGTCGAATTACAGTAGGTCAGACTCTAATCGTATTAAGAACTATCAGATTCTAATTAATTATACAAATGCTACTTAGTGCTCCTTTTCATACAATGAATACCCGCAGATTTGATTATTTGATTCATGATATCTGCAAAGTCAAGACCTGTCTCAATGGATCCGCCATTTTTAACAGTTTTTTTCTCAGTAGGTGGAAGGTAACTAGAATTCTATAATAGATTTTCAAATATTAATAAAAATAAAAATATTACCCATGGTAGTGGGAAAATTTCACAAATATTTTTCACGACATAGCATCTGAGCATGTGAAGTGGCTTAAGAAATCTTGAAGGAGGAAGAGTGCGAAAGCGCGATGGAAGTGAGGCAAAAAGTCGACTGGGGAAAAAATTGAATCACGTCCGCATGACATAAACCTTGCGTAATTTTAATTCGTGAGACACTAAGCTGTCCACTTTCTCGAAAGAGGCCTTCGCCTGTTACCACCAAAACTTATCACTTCAGCGACATCAGCTCGCTGTGAGACACACGTGAGTACAGTTGGGTGAATTTTTCAAAAAAACACGGGCGGTAAAGGGTTAATGATCAATTATCGATATCTGGAGCTCTTTGATCATTTCAGTTAGATATGCCACTTTGATTCTGTTGTGACATTTACTAGTCAGTTACAATGAAAAGATAAGATTGACAAAAAGTACTTGACAAAATTAGTCCAGATCCCCTGTGCAAGGAAGTTGAGCAAAATCGAGAACCTTCTCTCAGACCTTCTGCAAAAATGAAACACTGTGGAGGTTATTCTGGCAGTGCGTTCGCGAAAATCAACTATAGGAAACGGCTTATAATTTCGAGATGCCAGAATCTCTTTTTTTAATTTCCAACTCCTTGTCATTTTTCGCTGCATTTCTTGCCAATACCTCTATATAACATCTCGAGAGCTCTTTTGAAGATAGTGAAAAAGAAACGATGTGAAATATGATGTCGTATCAAGTTCCTGTGATCTTAGAAGTAGTTCTTAGATAGATATAATGTTGTAGAAATTATTTTGCACTGATAAAATAAAATTGTGGATTCATTAAACGCAAGTTTAATGGAAGTAAATGTTTTTAAATTGAAGACACAGAAACCTTAATTGTGTCTTAAAATTGATTTTTTGTTTTACTGATATTATAACCTCGTTTGATAATCTCATTGAACATTGTAATTGTTTACCCAAAATGAGCAATGACTTATTTGAATGAAATATTTCAACCAAACTATTCACACTTTACGTACCTTTCTAAAGCGCATTTTTTGCATCGGTATTTTAGGTATCAACTTTCTTTCCCCCATCCAAACCCCTCTTACGAAGCGCCAATACTCTTGGCCATGACCCCAGACAAGAACGAGTGAGCTCTCTGAGCCGACGATGGGCTCAAGATCGTTTGCGTTCAATGGCTTCCATGGACGAAGACGACGGGGATGATTTTGACAATGAGGACTTTGTGGAATCGTCAACTGTTTGCCTTCGACGTCCCGCTGCTATGGATAGGCGCCGTTTCAACCGACAGAAGTTGGCCGAATCGCAGGAACCTCATTCTGTCCACAGAATTTACTCCTGTCGCTCACCCGAGGAGAGGAATTTCTGGCTAAATAAGCAAGTCATCTTTATTATCTTGCCAATTCATGCAACTTTAATTATTGTAAGATAGGCTCGCATCTGCTTTTTCACCACAGTTCTTGTAAAAGAAAATGTCATTTGATGGTAGCCTTTTGTGAATAAAATTTCACATCCCAAGGTCATCTGGGTGTATCGTTTAGGCTCCACATTTTGAACTCAAATATCCAAAATTAAATTCATTTATTTTGCCTTAGTGGCGTATGCGTTGGATGTAATTGGGGCTTAATAGGTCCTGTGGTTGGTCTTCTTTCAGACAAAAAGTCAAAGTGTTGAATCTCATTTATCTCGTTTGAGTTTACATTTCTTTCTTTGACGGTTATTTTAATCGGAGATTTATTTATATTTGTATAGTAGACTGAAAAACGAGGCTAAAGTGCTGTGCATGTCACCTAAACATCAAAACAGCTAAAATTGAGGTTTCCGTGTCAAAAGGTAACTTTGAAAGCCACACAAAAGGATAGAGATAAGCACTTGTTCCTGTTTCGACTTAAAAGTAAATTACTAAATCATGAGTAATGACTGAATACTAGAGAAGAAGAATAATTGTTATAAGTTGGGCATAGTTCTCTTTAACTATTTATTCGCTCCAAATAGGTAAAAGCCCATCATTTTGTGATACTGCGCCAAATTTCAATCTAGTAATAATCAGGTGAAAAGAACGAAATATTTTTTTTTCAATATGTCCCTTTTTAAATAGCCAAATTTTCGTATCAGATAGTAACTAAAATTAAATTAAATTTTTTATTAAATTTGTTCATTTTCATTGTCCAGAGTTTAATGGGCAGATATATCTCACTGTACTCCACATTTTGTTCATTATTTAAATAATTAAAACATAGAGCAATAAATTAACACTAATTGGCATCAATTAATGACAAATTAACTCGATTAGTTCAATGCATGCGTCTCAATGTTCCTGACTTTTTTTTGTTACGTCAAAATTGTAATGAATTATCTCGCCTATTCCTCCAGATCATCACTCATTTCCTGGCTTGGTCCGTTAAAGCTATTTTTGGTTTCCTCTATACAAGTGATTGAATTTCAACGAATTCAAATTCAATCATCTAAGTGACTCCACATATTAAATATTATGATCAACTTAACACAGTTTCCCTAAACAAAAGGAACACTACGAGTGGTTTTTCGAATGTAAAAGAGATTTACGATTGGAGATCGTCGAAGAATCAAAATTTTGCAGTCCACAGATTAATTTTAATTTTATTTATTGGAGGATTCAATTTTCGCACACATCTTGGTGAAATTCAGAATGTCACCACATCCTTTTTTCTCATAATGAATAGTTGTAGGAAAATCAATGACTGAGAAGGGAATTCTGCAATCTGATTTCCCATCTGGCCCCACCTCTTCGAAAAAAATCGTCCATATCTAAACACTAAATGCATACGATTTTTTGTTTTCTCACACCTTTTACTTGTGATTTGCGTTCCAGATTTCTTAAGGTTTCAGCAAATGATTCACATTTTCTTTCTCAACGCACACTCACGAGTAATAGCTGCTTTAAAAAGGAAACCGTAGGTTCTCCCAATTTCGGTGATGGGTCGTTCAATAAATGTTTAGTAAGTGCATCGCCTTTTCTGCGGTGAGCAGCTTATTATACGGACAATTTAGCCTTAATTTGCCTCCGAACAGTCATGTATTTAGTATTCTTAATCTACTTAATCTCGAAAGTTGACTTCGTCTCACACAATCTATTTCCTGATAGCAGTTGGGGTATTAAAGTGGGATATTTCATTTAAATTTTCGCCTTCTGCTGTTATTTATTTTGTAATCCTTGCATGATGCAATATGACAAGTAATCTTTGCTCGTAGAGGTAAATGGGCGTCTCCCCACTTCCTATCT